GCACTGCTCGTAAAGTCATACTCAAGCGACATTTTGGTAAACACAGTTCTCACTTGATAATTTTATCAAAGCACACGCCGGTTCGACACAGTCGGTGTACATGCCGGAAGTAGACGTAAAAACTTGGTCAATCAAAAGATGTCGCGTTCATGAGAAATGTGTCGCATTTTCATGAGACGAAGCACACCACTGATCTCAGCATTTGTTTTCATATAATATTTCTCTTAACTCGAAATACGATAAGATTTCTAGTATTGAGAGTTAATATTAACATCGGAGTGATATAAATAATAAGAAATTTGGAAAAACAACACACTTTCTTGGCAACTAACTTCAGATGAGTTAGTGACCAATTAATAGAGGCGCCAGTCGATAACGATGTATTCCAATTGGAATTTTTTTATTTCTCATTTATTGATAGAAAACGGCAATTTTTGGAAGGAATCGAAGAGAAGTATGAAATTTTTTTCATTATAATCGTTCTATATGTGATTTTCATGAGTTTAAGAAAGTGTTCGTTGCTTTTTTGACCTTTTGAAATTTTCTTTCCGGGAAAACTCAAAAACCACTAAACAGATATCATCCAAAATCTAATCCGCTCTAAGTTGAGTGAAAATCTATCGATTGGAAAAAAAAAGTCAAATCGGACAATTCGTTCACGAGAAATCGTTAACCAANCGGCAATTTTTGGAAGGAATCGAAGAGAAGTATGAAATTTTTTTCATTATAATCGTTCTATATGTGATTTTCATGAGTTTAAGAAAGTGTTCGTTGCTTTTTTGACCTTTTGAAATTTTCTTTCCGGGAAAACTCAAAAACCACTAAACAGATATCATCCAAAATCTAATCCGCTCTAAGTTGAGTGAAAATCTATCGATTGGAAAAAAAAAGTCAAATCGGACAATTCGTTCACGAGAAATCGTTAACCAAAATTTTGACCACGTACATACCTAGTAACACACACACACACACAGACAGACATTTTGTTTAAAATTGTCTAGGAACATCGAAAAGACCTTGAAACATGGATATTTGATGAAAAATCGATTTTTGGTTTTCGGGGCCATTACAATAACTTCCCTGCCGGGAAGTTGAAAAATCTCACGGGACTTCTTCAAGCATACGATCTAGATCACTCTTGATTTTTTCCAGATTTTTCCTAGATCTTTCAAATTTATCATTATGTTGATTTATACTGGTGCAGCGCGGCGCCTACAGTGCGTCCAACGGCGTTCATAACACCAAGAGTGTTAATTGTGAACTTCGAGACTTTAAAAAACAGGTGTAATAATTCGTGAAATTCTCACTGGTTTTTTTAATTTTTACAAGTCAAAGACGAGTTCATCAATTGAGCTCATTATGGATTCATTACAACGCGCAAGAATTGTATCTTATGAGAAAAAAATATTTCGTTTGATGAACATTTCAATGAATCGTCAACATTAAAAAAGTCAAGAGTGTCCGCATTGCCTTACCCCTTTATTCATAATCCTTGAAACTTCTATCATTTAAACTATACTAGTTACATAACATAACTTCAATTTTGAAGAGTAAAATCTCCAGTAAATTTTACACAAAAGGTAATATGAATAAAAACATTCTGGTTAAGTTTGTGTTCAATCGGCCGTCTAGTATTATCGATAATAATTAATCTAGAAGTGCAAAAATATTACAACGTCAATGTCACTTTCGTAATAAATAATTCATATTTCTGTGTGTTCGAAACGGTGTGTTATGCCCAATCACGTTAGTCAACTGAGAGACTATTGTTTAAAAAAATAATTCAAGAATGAATTTGATGGATCAACTTCGTACACTCACCAAAGTTAGAATTCATTCCCAAAAAACCTAAATGATGAATAATTTATTTTGCCTTTTTTAATCTGGAGTTTATACATGCTACTTAAAGAAATTTCATTCATCAAATCCTCTTCAAATCACCTGATTTTCCATTAACTAAATTACTAAACATTTCAACTAATTCAATTCAGCAGCGAAGCGGTAAAACGGTCCAAGTTGATTTTTTTTTTTTTTTTTTTGGCCTCGGAGTCCCTTTTTCGGGTCCCATTCGGCACTCTATCCAACCCTATGCATGCGGCTGTGGATTCTACACTGTACCGCATTCGCACTTCTATAGAACATAGAAGTAGCATGGAGAAACCACAGAAAACCCATGCCGGTACAGGCGCGGTTCCTCTATTAGCAACCTCCCGCTCGCCGGAGCCTTCCGTTGAAAAATTCGGTTCCACGGGGAATCGAACTCACAACCTTTCGCACACTAGACTTGCGTCTAATCCACTCGGCCACCGACGTCGGTGGTCCAAGTTGATTTAACCCTTAGCCGAGTTTGCGAGGAATATCTCCGAATGCAAGAGAGATAATGAAATTTTCGTACTAACCATTTTTAGTAGAGCCAATTGAGGACTACAAGAAAGGTCATGACAAAAATTTTTCTATCTCCCTTAGCTTAGATTTCGAGATATTCATTGAAAACTAACCAATCAAAATCGACTTGAGCAGTTTTACCGCTTTGCTACTGAATTGTTCTTGAATCTTCCAATAATTTCCCCTCGAAATCCGACACAAAATTATCCATTATTTCTCGAAAAACTTGATCCACGCCATCCCACAATTTGAAGGTCTTCAAAAGGTCAACCAATCCCCACTCCAAAAATCTGTCGAAACGGTTTCCCTATCACTTACCAAATAAAAAACAACCAAAGAATGTCGATTATCGATAGGACGAAGTTTCCAGCAATTTGGAAAGGATTCACGATCCACCGGTCATATATGGTTTCGTTGGACGGGGCACTCAACGATACACAGTCAGAGGGGGAAATTGGATGAATTGTGTATTGGCCAATGGATATAATTCCAGGCGGCGGGCCATCGGATGTCGTAGTGCACCTCGGGCCCCGCTTCGATTATGTAAACCGGGTCGTGTGACGGGCCCGCAGTGTACAAAGGAAGACGAGGGTGAATAAAACAGTTCGATCAACCGATGTTTCGTTTCCTATCTGAATTTTTTTCCCTTCTTTCAGCCGATTTTACCTCCATCCTCTCTAGAAAACATCTCGTGCGAAAATTCATTCGGCACACAACGAGGCGTTATAATATACCCGGTACAAGCAAGACAATAATAATTCCCGAGGCAGCTCCCAGGCTTTCTTATGAACACAGAGACGCGTCGTTGACGATGCCTATTGTCTTTTATAAACTTTGAAATGAGAGAGAGGGATTAATGAGACGCGTTGGAGGAGTAGGCGAGTGATTTCATCCGGGAAAGCGTGGATATTGTTCTTATTAGTGTTACGAATGCTTTCGAAAGTAAGAAGACGCGTCATCTATGATTTAATTGTATTTTGTTATATGCGTGTCGAGTAACGTTTTCCTACACCGGGAGAATCAAGTTTAGTCTACGTTAGCATTTATTATTCGATCTCCCCCTTTGTGTATATTAATATCATTAGGGCCATGCGACACCGGTGCAGTGTCGCAGTGTCAACTTCGTATACATTTTTTTTCACTATCTTATTGCGATAGCGTGAAGCATATCGTCATTGCCGTCGCGCGATTAATTCAATTTGGAGGGAATGAGGAGAGCGTACGCGTTCGCACGAACTACTTTTTCATCATTTTTATTCTTGTCTATTTTCTGGCGCTCGTTGATGCTCACTCGGAAATGTACAATTTTAATCAACCTCGTTTTTTTTCTTTTCATTCTTTTCGCTATTGAATGATGTGGGGTAATTGTAATGGCATTTTCAAGGCTTATTTACCGGTTTGAAATAGAAAAAAGTAGAATAGGCATAACATGCTCGAAAAATTGTTATCAAAGTGGGGCTGAGACTGTCGTTTGGGATGTAAAAAATTAATTTTGAACGGAAATAGAGTGGGCTTTTGGGGTATTTTGGGAACACCCCAGGGCACCGGGTGGAAGATATTAGGCCCTCGACGAATCACTGGGCACGGCACACAACAGCCGGGAAATTGGGGAAAGGATGTGACTGCACGTGCTACCGGAGTCGGTGATCTCAAGTGTCTTCTTGAAATCGTACGATCCTACGATCTTCTTGGGATTTTTTTCGAAGTTTTTTTGCTCTTGACGGCGTTTCCGTTTTTATTTTTATGGGGAGGAAGAGTTAACCCATTACCACTCGTGCGACAAATCGTTAATGAGACTCGGCGGCTCTGTAATTTTTGGTGTCATTTTTCGAGTTTTGAAGGTTTTGCTGCTGTTGATTTAATGGTTCTCTTTCATGTTTTGTTATGTTCAATGTTCAAACAATTGACATATTGCCATATGTTTATTTTGAATAGGGAGGCTTTCAATTGCATTTGACATCGAAGGACGCGTGGAATATTCGAATCATTTCTAAAATTCAAACAAAATTGAACATTTTCCTTCGTTGGAAATTTGGTAATTCTTCAAGATTTCATTTTATTGTCGTATCAAAGTTAAATTTCACGTTCCACAAAACGCTTGATTGAAGCAGAAATGTAAATTCTTCAGAGAATTTTTTTTTAATTACTTGATTTTTCACCAACAAAATTCATTATTGTATGTCATCATAGTTAAATATTGGTAAACGTGAAACTACTTTAATGGGGTTTATTACACAATAAATTGTTAGAAATATATTGGAATTCATTTAATGATTTTCAAACTAATTGACGCATCTTCGCATATGAATTTTTCAGTGTTAAGATGATTCTATTTGAGATAAAATTGCTCCACAAATATTTGAGGAAATTAAACATTACATTGAATTGAATTTCTCATTAACTGACCCTGTTATCTTTTTGAGATTTTTGTCACCTTTTTTTGCCCGCGACGGCGCTGCCGTTTTTATTTTCATGGGAAGGAAGAGTTAACCCATTCGTGCGATAGATTGTTAGAGAGACTTGGCGGTTATGTAATTTTTTGGAATAATTGTTTGAGTTTTGAAGGGGATCCTGTTGATGTTTTTTTAATGTTTCTTCTTTGTATTTTGTTTCAGACGACGATTAAGGTCTATGCCAACTGTCTGCGATCTGACATCGAATATAAAACGCTGTCAATCACTTATGAAACAACATGTCGTGAGGTTGTAGAAAATTTGTTGAACAAATATAGAATGCGACACCGTGATCCACGATTATTTTATTTAACGATGGAGGTGACGGTTAGAAGAGCCAACGTAAGGACTATTCTGCCACTTGACGAGGATGCAAGACCTGCAGTTTTGCAGTCGTGTCATCCGAGAGGTGACTCGAGGTGAGAAACATGGATTAAAATTTGACGTAAAGAAAATTGCTGGCGCTTGTTTTATCGAGTTCATTAGAATATTCGGATTTTTTTGAAGGTTTTCACTGCAAACGAGACGAGGGGGACTTGTGAAAATCTACGACAGTGCACTTATGTCCGGGGTAAGTTCAATAAACGCTGGAGAAAAACCTTAATTGGAATTTACTTCGGGGAATTGACTAATTTCTTACGGGCTTTTGTTGCAGTCTAAATACAAGAGCCTTTTGATCTCGGAGAAAACGACTGTCGACGAATTAATTCAGATGCTGCTGAGCTGTTATAACTCCACTGAGAGGGTTGAACAGTTTTCTCTTTATGAAGTCAGTGAGGGTGAGGAGTATCAGAGGAAATTGCATCCCGATGATTCGCCCCTTAAAGTTACGCACAAGTGGACTAGTGTGGATAGACACCTGCGTATCAGGCGAAATCCAGATTACAACCCACACAGGAGAAAGGTAAATTGAATTCCGGATTATGGAGTTATTAAGCACCAACATTCCAATCTCATTGAGAAGAATTTTTCTTACATTATTTTGCGGACGTTGCGGGAAATTGCGAGCTTAGAGAAATATTTCAAGAGATTTTTCCTGGAGACAATTAGGATTTTGACAAGGAATATTTTTAAACCTATCATTTAGTCCAACATTCTAATGCAATTATTATGATATAACTTTCCTCTTGGAAATCAGTGGATTTGGAGGAAATAGTCGGGAGATTGTTAATAATTATTTGCTTCTTGAAAGTTTAAACTGAATTAATTCTTTCAAAAATTCGAAAAAATCTTGTTTTTCTTGAAAAATTAGAGAAAAAAAATTGAGACATTTGAAAAAATCTCAACTCTTCTTAAAAACACTAAATTCTTGGATTTCTCTTTATATTATGAAAATCCAAATCGACTTCTGTTACTAAAAATTTAATACTCGAAATTAAGACTCCACAATTAAGGGTCGCAAGGGTAAAAATAAGGATTATTGGCGAGCGGAGCGAACAGGGAGCGTAGCCCCCTAGTTCTAAAACAAAACTAAAAACTCCCGGATTTCAACCTTAATTACAGTCCAATCTGTCCTTTTCGTTCCTCTATTTTTCCATAAAATAACTCACGAATCTTACTGTTTATTTGTCTAAAATTACAAAATTATGTTAAATTCCTGAAACACCATTTTGCCCTCCGATCGGCCAGATTGTACCGTAATCTTTCGTGTGATTTTTTCCTCCTTGTTCCCTGTAAGAATGTCTCTTCTCCTTTTCCTCCAAACCCGCCACTTTCTGAAATATCTACAAAATAATCTGTACAGAATTCTCTGGATTTATCCTTTGTCATCCACAAACAGCTTCAATCAACCATTGCAATCTCATTTTTTCCAGAGTATGTGGGCATCAGAGTCGACAATAAGTGCAGCCCTGTCCCGATTAAATCTCCACAACAATCATCGTCTCCATCATCTGTCTCAGCAGTCCCTAAACGATGCCAATCCCCCGCCAACTGCCAGTGCAAACAATTCCCACTGCATGCTCCTACGACAATGCCCCAAGCACAAAATCAACAATCGTCACATGCACAATCACACGTACAATTCAATTCAAAATATCGGGATATCGGGATCAACGAGTCAGCAGCAGGACTGCGTCACAAACGTTGTTCCACGTGTTACGAAATTATCTGGTCTAATGCCACAGAGTTTACCTTCAACGCCATTGACGTCCAAGCATCTCGCAACACCGGGATACACGGATTACGAAAATTATCTCTACATATGATACCGTAACGAGGTCTTTATACATTTCCAGGTATCAATCTGAAACTGCCTTCTTAATCGTCAGTTTAATTTAATGTCTTTCCTAGTATGATGATTTTGTCGTTCAATTTCACTTGAACTATTTTCACTCGTTGGGTAACGAGGGATACAGAGAAATGGAGAAGTAAACTATGTCGTTAATTGTTAAGTAAATGAGACAAAAATGTACCAAAGGTAGCTGTATACTGTTCTCTTTAGGCAGCGTATCGAAGTGTAAAATTAATTTTAAGGAGTTGATGTTGCATTATGCTCGCCACAGGGAAAAAATTCTTCTTTTATTGAGAAAGGTGTTCCTTGAATCGATAATATTGTTTTCAAATGTAGAACAATGTTTTTAATTCTAAAACAGTGTTCTTTATTGAAGAGAATTACAATCATTTTTGTACCCAATCGTCTTTCTTTTCTGCAAACTGACTGTCTCAGTTTTCCGTGAAGAAAATGATGAACAAGCTCAAACTTTTGTTTTTCAGAAAAAGTTTACGAAAATAATTTGGATCTGTTCCGTATTCAAAGAGCATTTTTCTTAATTCCAGAAGACGCATTTAGTTCAGTTGTTATATTGATTCACAATGTTCAATTGAGGATATGCGAACAAACACTGTTTTACTCTCAAAATGATTCATTTGGATAAAGTGATGGATTTTCCTCTGTTCACAATCGTAACATTATTCTCTGATGTATATAAACAACGATTCTTTATTTATTGTCTGAAATTATAAGTTTAATTCTACTATTCGACGCAAATGCTTTTATTTAAGTCAATTGAAGAAGTTTGGTGATTAATTGTCAGAATAAAGTGTTCAATTTTTTACATGTGAAATTTTTATAAAACAACTTAGAGAATTGTGAAATAAGTGACTGGATTTTCTATGGCTTCATGACTACATAAACGCGAATAAATGGAGGAATAAATAATATGACTTGAAGCACTAAAGAGAGACTCATTTCTTCGCCAGTCGTACCCACATCTACTTTCAGGGGTAATAATGCTATACTTGGTAGGGTCGTAAAACACTCACCGATAGTCCGAAAATAGTGTATGCACCTGCCTTCTTAGAAAAGTGGAGCAGGAAAATATAAAAATAAAATGTGCAACAACAACTCACGGCTCCAGTGCTTAGTTCTGATTTGCATAGAAAAATATTCCTGGATATTTCCTTGTTTGATGAAGTATTTCAGGAGAAACCAATTATGCCAGCATAGAAAATTGCATGATTAATTTTTGAAACGTGTAATAATCACTCAAAAATGACTGCAAACTTCGCTTTAACCAGATTAAAAATTTATCAATTATTGAGATTAACAAAGAATGAATGATTCATGGGGTGCTTACAATTTGAAAATTACTGATTTTTTAGGTCCATCTCATCTTCAAAACACTTAGATTTTTATTAGAATTGTTTTTTCAAATAATATTATCAATTATTGTCAATTAAACTTTCAATTAGAATTCAATTGTCATTCAATTGGAGTTTTCAAGAAAGTGAAATTTTGTAGTTTTGAAATTATTAGTTCACACAATGATTTTATCAACTGTTAATTAAATCTCTCGATTGTGATTAAAATCTCGTCACATGTGATTACAAAATGTTCTTGCATTTGCTCAATGCTATAGTTCTGGAAGAATTGATATTTTCTCTTCACAGAAATGACTGTAGCACTGAAGATCGCAACCCCTCATGCATACAAAATAATTGGATTCTGATTGAAATTAGTTCTCCATGCAATAACATCGTCAATTGGAATTCTCAGTGATGATTAAATTCTCGTTGAATTCGATTTAAAAAAATTATGTGCAATTTTACTGTTTCAAAATAGGTGTGTCACATGATAAAATCATCAATTATCGTCAAATTTTATTTAAAATTTTTCTCGGTGGACTTCACTTGTGGGAATCACTTTGGCGCTGATAATTTTGAGCCCCTCCCTTATTCAAGACAATCAGATTCTGATTGCAATTAGTTCTTCGCGCAATAAAATCATCGATTATTGTCAATTGAGCCCCCACATTTAGATTGAATTCTCATACAATTTGAGTATTTTTTTTCATCACACTGTCCGTAAAACATCGTTTTAGGGATACTTCGTGTCCGCCAAACGCTGTTTGCGGACATTGTGAGGAATTAGTATAGTTCATCATTAGGCCGAAAGACACTTTTCTGACGAATATGAGTTTGCAGAAAAATTTTTTTAGGCCGTACGATGAACAATATTTTTTGTCATAACACGAATAAAAAATCTGGGAAAAGTGTTTTCGTCATATTTGCACGGAAAGTTCGATTTTCCTCTCCAAATGATGGGTGAAAGTGGCTTATTTCATAAACCTCGGATTTCTATTGTTTTTGAGGATCCTCCGAATGACATAACCCACGTTCCTCTCTGCATTTATGTAGTAAAATCGAACTATACCGTGCAGTTATGACGAAATAGTATATTATGTCATCAGGCGATAAAAGTATTATCTGGCGAATATGGCTTTATAATCCGAGCCGAAGGCGAGGATTATAATCACATTCGCCAGATAATACTTTTATCGCCGTGTGACATACGATATTTTATGTCGTTGGGCTCGAAAATTCGCTGCGCGAATCTTCGCGATGCAAAGATCACGAACCTCGCTTCGCTCGGTTAAATCGCGGTTTATCGGGCCTAATGACATAAAATATCATTTGACCTACGGCCTAAAAAAACTTTTCAAGCTCATATGATTACAACCCTCGTCTTTGGCTCGGGCTGCAAACTCATATTCACCCAAAATAGTACATTACACGCCCGAGCCTTGGAAAACAGATCACCGTCCCCCACGTGCAAGATTGCACGAACCAAAGGCGGGATGTCAAGCACGTGGGGGAGGGTGATGTTTTCCATGGCGAGGTGTGTATATTAATTTTCGTGTCGAGGGACCTGAAAAACACTAACTTCGTGGCGCGCAATGCCCTCGACATGAAATACATACGAAAACACCATGCCTTCGGCTCGGAAGGCAATCTTGCGCGTGGGGGACGGTGTGATCTGTTTTCCAAAGCTCGGGCATGTAATGTACTATTTCAGCCTAATAACGAAACATTCTATTTCATCACAATGTGTGGCACGCTTCGCGTGCCTAAAAAGTTACTTTTTTGCACAGTGTGATGAAATAGTATATTACGTTACAAGTGTGAAAAAGAGGAAATGTTAATACGAGTGGGGTAATGTTTTTAGGGAGAGTCGTAACACACGCGCAACCGAGTGATAGACGAGACGAGACAAGCCTTCGGCTCGACTCGTGCCTCCTCCGCTTGTCTCGTCGAGTCTAGCGCGAGGTTGCGTGTGTCCTACGACTCTCCCTAAAAATATTAGCACACGAGTTTAACGTTCCCCCTTTTTCACACGTGTAACGTTTACTATTTTTTGAAATAAGTGTTTGGAAAAGTCATCTTATTCTGACATGCGTTTTGTTAATCGTTAATTCACTTTTTTTCGCAAATACTTTTGATTTACGGATGAGAGGCGACCGACTAACGCATGATGTCTGCCGTATGGCTGATGTAATTCAGTCAAGACGAGTATGGTTGAACTGAGGAGATTGTGGTCCTCAAATTTACCCCCACTTTTCCCAATCCCCACTACAATTCTTATCTCCCACCTCTGACACTCAGGGCTACGATCTCCTCAGTCCGACAGTAGACCGATGTTTTCAGTGGCGCACCTAGTTATAGGATGTCGCGTAGACCCCTAGTTGCGACGTAGAGTCCCTATGACGGCCATATTTCTCACTAAATTACACCGCTAAGATTCAAATTCTTTTTAAATCAATTTTATAATTTTTTTATTCATGTTAGTCGAAATATTCTCACGAGATGAAATTTGAGAAGAAACAAACTTTTAGAAAGTACGTTGGAAACTCGGGTCAACAGGAAATGAGTAATAAAACTGGAAATTCTTCACCGTAGTTCGGACCACCCGAAGATAAAGCCCTTTTGTTTTGTTTTTCTTATAGAGTTTTCAAGTGCAATTTGAACTCAGTTTCGAACCGTATAAGTCGTAAAATCTTTTCCCGGAGACAGTTTATTTTTCCCCGAGAGAAACTCAAGTATTTGGTCTCTCTCACTCCGCACATGTCAGGCTCATTGTTCGGGTCACGTACACTTGAGAGTTCGGGGCTGGGCCAGCGCGATCGACTATGGGGGTGTAAGACCAACCCCATCGACCGAATTCAGGGTCACGATTGGTTCCCTACTCTTTCCTGTGGGATGAGTTTCCACGCTAGCGAGACTTAGAGTAATTTTAAGAGAAAATGTAAGAGCAGTTCCACTACCTACGTGGACCAGAGAACTTCTGGAGCGATAACTAGTTCAATTTAAAGTCAAGAGTTTGCTGTTGTTGTGAATTAAGTAACATGTCTAATGGATTAAATCGAATATTGTGTACTAGCATAAAAATCAGTGTTTCTGTCTACATTTATTTCGAATATTCCCGCATTTGTGAAGCAGAGTACTTTTGCACTCCACGGGCAGTGAACCCGCCATCTGGGATCAACTCTAACTAGCTCGATACGTAACAAGGAATAACGACACTGGATTGGTCGAAAACCTACAGACTGGTGCCATCTTTCAAACGGTGATATAGAATTGAACTCTAAACTCGTAACTGCAAAGTCAGCTGTTGTAAACGAAAAGTGAATCCTGTAAACGAGGAGCACGTCTGAATATTTTCCGTCAAAAACACTTCGTCATAAAAACTCGGTTTTTTTAACTTTTGCGATTACAACGTTTGTCATAAAAAAACTTTCCAAAACAACTTCTTTACAAATAACTTTGTTAAAAACCCGAATATTTTTTTGTGTTTTTCCGTTTTTATTTCTATTCGGAGAGATTGAGCTGTATTGCTTATTTTGTTTTGGGTCCCGTGTATACCTGAATTTCATAATAATCGAGTGGAGAGGGGAATAATAGAATTGAGTGGAGGCGGTAATCACGCTGTTACCGCATTTTTCGTCAGTTGTAATCATCACTGTGCGTGAGCTGGTAACAAGAAATTCTTCAATGTTGAATTATGGGTCTACAGTTTGTGTTGAGTCAGAAGAATAAATTTATCAATTGTCTCAAGGATGAGCAAGGAGTAACAGAGGTTGTGCTCGAGCAGTTGGATGCAGGTCGTGACATCGCGTCTCGTAAGCGCAAGCGTTATGTTGCTTATGATGAACGTTTGAGTGCTGTTGTTCGTGATTCCGCTAATCGTTCGTACATGAAATATTTGAAAGGAATTGCTCTGAATATCACCCTTTAATTGCATAATTTTTTTTGTCTACCACTCATTTATTCTGTTAATAAAATTTCGTTCAATTTCATTGATAGTCGTTGGTTTTTTTCTTTCATCATTGATTATTTTTCAGGTGGTTTTTTGAGTTGTTTTTTCATGGAATTTTTAATGAGAGAAGTTGTTTTTGGGTTGGGTTTATTTAACAAAGGTTTTTTTTAACCAAGTTTTTTTGACGGAGTTTTTTTGACGGAAAATATTTAGACATGGACCCCTGTAAACGAAAAGTGAATCCCGTAAACGGAAAGTTACTTTTCAAGTAACTTTTTTTTTCAAAAGTTACTTTTCGTTTACGTTTACAACTTTAAAAGTGACGAAAAGTGCCACTTTTCGCACAAAAATCGGTAAACGAAAAGGGACTTTTCCAAGCACGTGGTAATTTTCACGAGAGTCATTGACAACCCTCGGCTTCGCTTCGGACCACCTACTTCACTCTCGTGAAAATTCCGTCTCGTACCGAAATATACTATTCTGACTCGTGTGATTGCAGTCCTCAGCTTCGCTTGAGCCTCCCTGGTAGGAGGTGAGAAAAGGCCCAGGGTAGGCCGAGGATGGCCCGGTGCTGGCTAATATTGGGCGAGCCTTGAACAATCTTGGCCCGTTCTTCATCTCCTACCAAGGCTGCAAC